AAAAAAAAGAGAGATTTTACCACGTTAGAATACGCCTGGTCTACCTAAAATGCTTTCTGTAATTTTGATGTCAATTTATCCTTTATGTTTTCCTTGAAGACATCCTTGCTGTTGGTACACTATTCGTCGTGTGGCCTCCTCTCAAGACTACTGCACTGAGCTCCCCCGTAGTGCTTCTCTCTGTGTTTGTTCTGAACGCAGTGCATACACTTCTCCAAATTGCATTACCCTTTGTTCTAAAATTAACTTCAGTTAACAGTTTCCAATATAAAAACAATTACAAAATGGCTTCTTAAGCAAGGAATCTGTTCTGCTTTTCTATTTTGCCTATATTTTATCACGGTTGTCGCTGAAATCTTCTGTGTGTGTGCTCTTAATATATCCTTTCAGCTCTCCATAATATCGCTGAGGGTTTAACAGAGAACAATTGTATAGTTTGAGGACACGTAATAGGCTACTAGAAGAAATATTTACATCTGGCATGATCAAAGCTTTTGGAGTATATGAATGTGCGTGTGGGAGGTCTAATTTTTATGTGGGTGGATTAACAAAGAAGACTAAAACAGTGCAGTACTTAACCCCTTTCCCTTTATGAAAATTCACTTCCTGAAAATGAAAAAAACATGTAGTACCTGATGGTTATCTCTTGTTTTTCATTTCAAGGAGTAGTATTAATTCTGCTTGTAGCTACTTGTTGGAGGCGCAGAGAAATTTTTCTATTTCAGCCCCTATGGTGGCTTATTTAACAAGATGCTTATCTTGCCTGTGATGTTTTCGTGTGTTGGAACTTAAATATGTTTAAAAATTTTAAAAACAGATAAGTGATCATTCTGACACAGTCTGATAGCCTGTTGAACTGTTGTGGTGGGAGCACTACGACACTTCCAGCGCTTGGCAATAGCTACATCTTCAGGTTTGGTTTCTGCTGTTCTAGTTCCTGTGGCTATCAGCTGTACGCGGCTTCCAGAAATCTGTCATTTGAAGTTGTTTTTTTGTTTTGTTTTGTTTTTCAGTTTCTTAAAATAAATAGTTACTTATATATTATGAAAGGCTATTAATAGCCACTTGAGTCATCTCTGCTTGTATTTTGTTTACATGACTGATGGTGGAGTTTCGGGTTATGGCTGGCCTGCCCTAGCAGCTTGCTGAGGGGGAGGTCTTGCTCTCCCTCCTGTGCTCCGAAGGGGACGCGGGACCTTCTCTTCCCCAGCTCCCAGCCCTACCAGATCTGGCGTCAGGGTCACCAGCTCCACTTGCTCGCCAAGCAGCACCCACGCAGTGAGGTGCGTGCCAAATTCCTATTTTGTTATTTTGAGCGTTCGCTTACCATGTGCTCAGCAGGGTACCTGGGCTGGCTCGCGGGAAGCATCAGGAGGCCATGGCCAGGGGCTGGGGTGTGTGTGGGAGAACCACCTGCCCTTTTTGCCCCCGGTGAACTTCAGCGTGCTCAGACCACTTTCTGAAGTCCTAGCATGAGTCATGAGCGCAGTATCAAATAATCTCTAATTCGTGGCTTCTTGAAAATCAGTCAAGTTTTACAGTCAAGCTGCAATGTGCGGCGCAGCTCTTGTCACCAGCTAATACGTCACTGAAGACACGTACGTTCATTTTCAGAAGACACAACACCTTCTGTGGGTATCTTTAAAGATCATGTACGTGCTTACAGCATCCATTGCTGTTACTTTGAGACCAACAGCACGTTCTCCCCTCTGAAAGCACTGTAGACCTATTAAGTCATGGGTATGCACATAACTGTGCTTGCTGTTCTTCATCTAGATAGCTTCAGCAGTCAAAATCTTATGGGGTTGTGGCACCTTCTCTGGATACTTGCGCCATCCTTTTGTTGCCCTTGTGGCAATGGGCGTCTCCACGTCAGTTCCTGCACTATTCTAGTATTAAATATTTGTGTGAACTGCTGTCGAAGTCAGTTGGTGTCAGTGCACTGTGTAAACGACAGCAGCTGGAAATGACAGCGATGGAAAGCCTTACAGCCCTCCCTGGAGCCCTGCAGCAGGGGTGGGATGGGCAGGGGGAAGCCCAAATCCCTCAGCTGCCAGAGCCTGATCTGTTGGTGAATCTGTGCCCACACCTCAAGTGCCAGGAGGCCACTGGAGGCCCAAGGTAGGCAGTCTGTTAATCCAAATTGCTGAAGTCTCAGCTCCAGCCTTATCAAAGGAGCACTGCTTTGGTTTTTCTTTGTCTCCACATCAGAACTCGATGTGTTGGTTGGCAGAGCAGTTCACTGGTGTCTGCAGTTCACTGGAGGTTGGTCGCTATCTTTTGGGCCAGTGCCATGTTGAGGCTTTTCATGCTTTTCCTGTGTTAGACCTCCTTTATGTGTTACCTATGCAATTTTTACTCTCCTCCTCTTTGAAGGGGGGGGGGGGGGGGAAAGAAAACTTTACAATTAATTGTGTTGGGATGCAAGGATTCCCTACAAGCTTGCCATGGTTTGTGACCACAAAGCAGCCTTTTCTTCTGCGTTGCTCTGTTGAAAAACTATTAGCAAGCAAGTTCAATCACTTGTTTTGCTGCCTTGTCAGTTTTCAGTCCCAGTGTATGTTCTGGTGCATTACTCAGGAGCCCAGTGTTCCTATTCACAAAGACCACATGATTTTGTTTGCGATTCAGGAGTCTAAATCTTAATAAATAATTAAATAAATAATAAATGGCTCAGAAATGGCAGATACTTTAGATGCGTACAGTTGTGTCTCTAATAAGTCCTCCAAAGCAACAGCTAACTTGAGGAAGACAGCAGTGGGATATGACGTGTTTGGGTTTTAGCTCCCAGCATCGCTTAATTTGCTAAATACTCACAGGCAGATCGAATGGCACAAGCAAGGGACGTTACATAAATATTGGCAACCGCAGGCATTCAGTAATCATCCGTAAAACTCTGAAGGATCATCAGGATTCAAAACTGTCCTGAAAATGCTGTGCTTTGTGTTTGTAACCGGGGTGCTCGTTTCCAGTTCAGCACCCCACGCTGTCTCCACTTGTATCCTTGCAGCTCGGGGACTGCCAGCATTTCTGGGGGGTGCAGGTGCTCACGGCACCTGTCCTTCAGAGTAGCAGACGTGTTCAAAGTAGGGCACAGCAAGAAAGAAAGCAAGCTTGGGGGGTGGGGTGGGGGAATTTTGTAAAGAACCACCAGCAAAAACACCTAAAATAAATGGTGTGGGGACATCGCGCTGTGCTCCCCTGCAAAATCTTCCTCCCTGACAAAAGTGAGGGGTGTCCTGATACAGTGCTAACTCTCGACATGAAGAAAACAGACCTGAATATTTAATTTTACTGTCTACCAGAGACAAACTGCATATGTAACGTTATTAGTGTCACTGAGAGATTGACTGCCTACCTTCCTGTTGCTTGTTCAAGGAGATTTCCATTTACCCTCATCTAACTCTAAGATAAAGAAGGGACCATCTGTTCTTTTTCCTTCACTCCCTCCTTTATTACAGTCCTTTGTTCTCATGCTCTCAAATCCTAATTCGTCCTCCCTGATGTGCTCCGTATTTGCCAGGTCTGTCAAACACCACGCACCCATCTTTTTCTAGGCCTGTTCTGCATTCAGTTGTTTCTTGCTCTTCCTTATTTGTTGGCATGCCTATTTCCCTACCTCTGGTATGCAGGACGTGTTTTACTGTATGTTGCTCTTCTGTGCCAGTACTCCAAGAAGATCTGCAGCTGGCACAGGGAGCAGGGAGTGTTGTACAACAGAGGTGTGAAGGGTGGTTGGTGCTGGGCTGCACTGCTGTACCTCCTGCATGCCAGTGGCGGTTTTCCTTCGTGAGAAATGTTTAAGGACCCTCTGACACAAAAAGGAAGGTCAGCCTTCCATGTCTGTATCAATTTTTCTGAGTAATTCTGGCTCTGCTGCGTTTCCTGCCCAAAAAAAGACAGTCTTCAAGGATGATGTGTCTGGATGAGGTGTCCTTCCTACTTAGAAGTAAGTCCCTTCTGTGAACAGCTGTTTTATGCTGGTGACTGTGGACACAAGGGTAAATTTTGCCCAAATCCATTTTACACTATCAGGAATTTTACAGGGACTTGTTCATTAGTGCTTCTCCTCCAGTCCTCTTCCTTCATTCCCCCTTAAAAAAAAAAAAAAACAAAAAAAAAAAAAAACAAAAAAAAAAAAACATTACCACTGGAGAAACTTGTATTGGTGAAGGCAGCTGTTGGATCTGAATGCAAACAAGGCTGCTGGCATTTTTATGTATTCCATTATTGAGAGCAGGCCTAGGAACCACATAGTTAAAACATCATCTGCACAAATGAGAGCAGTGGGGAAGTTTAGGGAAGAAATCTGGTGTGGATGATGGCTTTGTGTACAGTTCTGGCATGATTTGTCCATTTCCTTAGTCCCTAGGGAAAAAACTGTAGCAGCGATAGCAAAAACTGCATAAATATAGCTCTGTGATGATACTGTAAGCAGTGTCTGTCTTTGCCTCCCTGAACATCTTCTCTAAGCCTGTCTTGCATGCGTGATCACTCTTACATATGTGTGCATGTATATAAACGTATAAACTACTACGTAGAGAGAGATTGCACACCAAATAATGATTCCTTCTGTATCTCAGCCCTTTAAAACATACTGTGTGCTGAAGGCTTTGAGATCCAGTGAATCACCAGGTCACATTTATGGTATAGCTGCTATTTTGCATAGTCACCATGTAATAGTGTCAGGACTGTCTCTGAACAGATTTTTAACAGACATTTCAGTATACTTGAACCTGTGTTATGGAAAGCCACTGTATGAGCAGGAAAAATACCAGGCATCAGTGTTTCAGTTGCTTCATTATGATTTTGGGACTGGAAAAAAGGCTCCAGGTGTTAGAGAAACAAATACTCATCTGGCATACTTGCAGTCTGATTCATCCTTCTAGATGTGTTTGTGTAAATTCAGCATCTGCTTTCAAGAAATCATTTTTGTGCTGATCTTACTTGAAAATGTTTCTGTCTTGCTGTACCTCATTGCACGTATTTTCTCTCAACAGAGTTTGCACTTAGGATAGTGAATGCTCCGATGGCCTTGGACTTAGCGTTTGGCACACTGTGTGAGCTGCTTCAGCTGTGGGGGGAAGCCCGTGCCGGCGTGCCGGTCTTGCTGGAGTGGCTGCTGGGAGACAGTGATCCACAACAAGGCTTGGAGGCTTCAGCTCTGGTAATTCTAACATGCAGCTGCCCCCTCACGCTGGGATGGCTGTTTCTTGCGGTAGGAATAGAATGAAATGGCTAATCTGATGGAGCCATTCCCTGACGGTCATTACTCCAGTATTAATTGTATTTACAATTATATATAATAAAAAAAAAATCACGTGGACAGATTTAGAATAAATAAATAGAGTTGATGTCAGTGGCCTGGCAATATCAGTATAAAATTAAAAAGACCAACAAACAGACATTGAAATAAATCAAGAGTTACTTAACAAATTGTTGTTGACTGCAGCTGTAACTAATTGCATTCAGTGGCATTGCAGATGATCGCCCGCCTTGAATCTAAAGTGCCGTTGTGGGTGCCAGGCACATCTGACATTCAAGAGCCGTGTTCCCCCAGCTGCTTGTCCAGAGATTGCAGCTACGGATTTGGAACCCTCGTGCCATCTCCATAGGACTGGTTCTGTACAGCACTTAGCCTCACTTACCTAAGCCAGTGCCTTCAGAAGGATTCTTTACACAAAGCAAAGCTTTGCCATGTTGGTCCTGTAGAGGTTAACGCCATAGCACTGCACTACCTTTGCCTTGATGAGGCTGTAAAAATGAAAATCAGGCTAGACGGTAACGCGGAAGTAGCAGGAACAGCCACGTCTTTGGGACGTTTGTTGGCAATTAATACACACCATAAAATGTATTACGAAACTTCTCTTAAGTCTGTGGTTTACGTACGCCTTTCTGATATTTCACTGGCTGATACCATTTTCCTTTTTCATTTAATCCACTCAAAAAGCTCCATGAGATAGCAAATTACCATGCTGGTTACAGGAGTCTCTGTGAAATACAAGACAGTTAGAGTGGAAGGCAAGCACATGTTAAGGATTAGGACTACTACTTACTTCCACTACTCCCCAAGAGGTATACCACAACTGCCTCATTTTTGAAGGTAGAATTTCTTTGGCAAAGGAAGAAACTTCATATTGCTTTGAAAACCTGTGAAAAATGATGCATATGAATTTTCCTTTTTTTTTTTTTTTTTTTTTTAGCAGAAATAAGCTGTTCTATAACAGGCTCCACTCTCTACTTCTCTTTGTATCTTTCTTAGACTTTAAAATCCTTTCATTGTTATCCAGCCCACAAGTCGTTTCCTAATTGCTGTTGTTTTTCTTTTTATTAAGGAAGAAGATGATAACCTGTTTGATAAAGGGGAAGTTAATTTTTGGGAAGAGAAGTTAACTAACGCCAGACAACTTAGTAAGCACCTTTTACGGCTTATACAAGTGACTCATCTAACCTTACCAGATCAAGAACTTAATCGACTGTCCAGAAGGGCACAGGACCAAGCCCAGCTTGTTGCACACCTTCTTAGAGCGCTTCCTCCGAGTCCAGAATTTTCAAAAACTTCAGAATTCACAAAATTGGCTATTCAGAATGAAAGAGTATCACACTGTCTTAAAATAATAAATTTGCTCAAGTCTGATGAGATTTGCAAAAATGAAAGTCCAAAAACACTGAACTAAAAAAAGGAGAAAACAAACCAACAAAAACCACTAGAAGTTCATTCTCAGGGAACTACAGACATTATAGTGGATTAGCAGGGGACTGAATTCGATGGATATTCAAGGAGTTAAGGTATTGCTATGGCGACCCCAGTAAACCTGTAACAAACTATTCACTATTCATGCTAAAAACGCATTTTCCATATATGAGTCCATTGATTTATTTTTTTGGTCAGGTGTGCTGTGGGAGACCATTCCTTTTAAATGCATTTGCTAATTTCATTCAGCTGAGTATGGTTTATTGTAGCTACTGTAGGAAGTAAAGCAGCTAAGCCTAATATTTTCCATTCATCCAGGTGCAGGCCACCTGTCGTTGTGTTACGTTTTATCCTGGATTTTTACCTCCTGTATTTTAATACCAGGAAAAAACTTCTTTTTTGGGGGGAGGAGGCTCATTTTGACAGGTAAAATGTTAATTATTGAATTGATAAGGGAAGTTTTTATTTTAAGTTAAACTTGGATCCTTTTTGTCCGTGACAAATTCTAGACTACAGTTTAAATTTTACTGCATTCTTCTCTGGAGGAAGGCAAGGATCCTTACTTTGCTAGTAGCCTTGTTTTGTAGATGGAAACAGCGTTAGTTATGCTTCGCATGCCTGTGTTTCCTGTAAATCAAATACCTACTTTTGTAAAATTGCTCTCAAATGAAATTGGCAGCATTGAAAACAAAGCAGCTGTTCCACTTAGAGCAGAATAGTTTTGTCTTTACTTCAAAACACCTTGCTCTCCAAGCAGTCTTGAAAAAGAAGGTCCTGCTCGGTAGAACGAGGCCACTGGAGATGTGTAGGAAGCGTCCTTGTGCTATGGTGCTCTCCCTCCCGAGGTTTTGCAGCGAGCCCTTGGTAAGAGCTGCGTGGAATAATGTGTCCAGTGCTCAACTGTTTCATTGTCTGAGGTACAAAAACGTTTGTTGCACTTTGTGGATTTATTTTTCTGGGAATTTGGATTTGGCTGTGATGTGAAAATCAGACGTCAAAAATAAATACTTATTTTAAAAAGGCTTTGTTATGTTCTTTCAGTCGAGGGCTATGATTTTATATTTGGTCCGGCCATAGCTGGACATAGCCAAAACAAAGCTGCAAGTCGATATATATAGATACTGCGGTCTCCTTGGAAGAGTTACAGAGTGATGTGCAGTACACCATTGCTCACTTTCGGCCTCGCAGCTCGTAGCTGTACATTAGCACAGCCTAGCTGCGCGTCCGGGTGACGATGCGGTGAGCGTGCAGTGGTCGGGAGGGCTGCAGGCTCTGCCGTGCTGCCGGTCTCCGGGAGGTGGCAATGCAACACAGCGCAACGCAACGCAGCCCTGCAGCGAGCAGCGCTCACTGGGCTGCAGCCCGAGACCCTGTGTCAGCTCCTGGCCGGGCTCTTCATGAAGAGCGACCGTCCTGGTCTGCCTGTGGCACCTAACTCATGTCGCCGACTCCTTGCGACGGCGTGAGTTTGGGGAGGAATCTGCTGTAAAACAAGATAAACTGTCAAATTAAGCCTAATGAACGTGTGTAAACTGCACCGGGCTAACTCACTCTAGGCAAAAACTCATGTCTGAAGTGGAAGTACTCGCTGTAGGCTTCCAGGATTCGAGATTACTTATGTAAGTAATTCACAGTGCAACGTGAGACTTCACACAGCAGCAGCAGGAGAAGGTTAGAATCGGAGATGGCAGCTTGTTGCACAGGGTGCGTGTTATCTAACGCAATAAAGCCACGCTGGGAGCTGGCCTGGAAATTAATTCGTTGGCATCTGCTTTCAGCTCCTGGGCAAAGAGTAGCCCAGGTTACGTCTGGAAGCCGCTTTTAAGGGTCAAGCAGTCGTGCGGCTCCTGACTACAGCTGCCCGCTAGCGCAGCTCCCAGCTTGTGGGACTGGTGCAGCAGCAAGGCTGGCAGAAGGGGGAACTCTGCCGAAAGGCCGGCTGGGCTCTGTGCCCTCGGCTGTTTCAGCAGCGAGGGGACGGCTGCCTGCTGGCCCTGGCTTTTTGGTGTTTTGCTGGGAAGGGGAAGTGCGTGTGGGCATTTACACTGAGCGCTGGGCAGCTGCAGACAGAGCAGCGCAGCAGCAGGTCCACGCTGCGCATAAAACCGAGCAACTCTGTGAGCCTCGGGGCGTGCGGCTCCTCCCGGGCCAACTTCCCTCAGCGGCGGGCCGGGGGCGGCAGGGGGCGGCACAGCGCCGGGCACGGCCGGGACGGGGAGGGGGGGGGGGGGGGCGAGCAGCAGCGCGCTGCGGGCAGCCGGGAGCGAGCCCGCCCGGCCCCGGGGCGGCCCCGGGCTTTTGTCTCGGGCCCATTACGTGGCACAAGCGGCTGAGGAGGAGGAGGAGGAGGAGGAGGAGGAGGAGGAGGAGGAGGTGGAGGCGGCTCCGCGCCGACCCGAAATGGCGGCCAGCGGCGGGGCGGGGCGGGGCGGGCGGCGGGCGGGGCGCTGGGCCCCGGCACCTCCCCCCCGTGCCTCGGCGGCGGCGTTTATATGGGGGCGGCGCGGGGCCCCGCCGAGCTCCCGCCGGTCGCCCGCTGCCCTGCAGCCGCCGCCGCCGCCCCGGCCCGGCTCCCGCCGCCCCGCCGGGAAGGAGTCGGGAGCGTTTCGGACCCGTGAGCGGCCGGCACCCCCCCCACACCCGCACCCCACACCCACCCCGCCCCGGCCGCCGCCGCCGCCGCCTCCCGCCCAGTCGTGGCTTTTGCAAACCCTCCGAGGGGAGCGGGCTCTTTCGGTCCTTGCTGCGTGTCCGACCATTACAGGATCTAGCGATGTCTACGACGCTGTTATCGGCCTTCTACGACATCGACTTCTTGTGCAAGGTAAGGGCCGGGCCGGGACAAGGGGGGAGGCTGCCCGGGGGGCGCGGGGCTGCTCCGTGCCCCCAGCCCCGTTCCCGTCCCTGTCCCTGTCCCTGCCCCGCCGCGGCTGCGGGGCCGTGCCCAGGGCGGCGCGGGCTGGCGGTCGCGCTGCGAGCCAACCCGCCTCTCTCCGCTCTCTCCTCCTCCTCCTCTTCTCCCGCTCCTCGTCCCCCCCTTCTCCCACCCCGCTCGCAGACGGAGAAGTCCCTGAGCAACCTGAGCAGCATGCTGGACAAGAAGGCCGTGGGGACCCCGGTCACCCCCCCCAGCTCCAGCTTCGCGCCGGGCTTCCTGCGGCGGCACTCGACCAGCAACCTGCCGGCCCTGGCCGGCGGCTCCAAGTTCCCCAGCCCCACCGGCTCCAGCTCGTCCTCCTCCTCCTCCTCCTCCTCTTCCTCCTCCTCGTTCGGCAGCCTGAAGGAGACGGGCTCCGGCGGCGGAGGCGGCGGCAGCAGCAGCCCCACGGCCCTGCTCAACAAGGAGAACAAGTTCCGGGACCGCTCCTTCAGCGAGAACGGCGAGCGCAGCCAGCACCTCATGCAGCAGCTCCAGCAGCAGCAGCAGCAGCAGAAGGGGGGCGGCTCGGGCGGCGGCGGGGGGGCGCCCATCAACTCGACGCGCTACAAGACGGAGCTGTGCCGCCCCTTCGAGGAGAGCGGCGCCTGCAAGTACGGCGAGAAGTGCCAGTTCGCGCACGGCTTCCACGAGCTGCGCAGCCTCACCCGCCACCCCAAGTACAAGACCGAGCTGTGCCGCACCTTCCACACCATCGGCTTCTGCCCCTACGGCCCCCGCTGCCACTTCATCCACAACGCCGACGAGCGCCGCCCGGCGCCCGGCGGGGGCACGGCCGCCGCTCCCCCCGCCTCGGCCGCCCCCCCGCACCACCACCACCACCACCACCAGCACGCCCCGCACCCCGCCGGCAGCACCGGCGACCTCCGCGCCTTCGCCCCCCGCGACCACCCCCTGGGAGGAGGAGGAGGAGGCGGCGGCGGCGGCTTCGGGCACCCCCGCGGCGGCGGCGGCGGCGGGGGCAGCGAGCGGCCCAAGCTGCACCACAGCCTGAGCTTCTCCGGCTTCTCCGCCCACCACCACCACCACCACCACCCGCACGCCGCCGCCCCGCCGCCCCCGCCGCCCCCCGGCGGCCGCCTGGACGCCGCGCTGCTGGAGAGCCCCGGCGGGTCGCGCACGCCGCCGCCGCCCGCCTCGGCCTCGTCGTACTGCGAGGAGCTGCTCTCGCCGCCCTGCGCCAACAACGCCTTCGCCTTCTCGGGCCAGGAGCTGGGCAGCCTCATCGCGCCCCTCGCCCTGCACACCCCCAGCTTCGCCGCCGCCGCCGCCGCGGCAGCCGCCGCCGCCGCCTATTACCGCTGCCAGCAGCAGCAGCAGCAGCAGCAGCCCCCGCCGCCGCCGCCCCCCGGGGGGGGCTGCCCGCCGCCCCCCGCCTCGCCGCCCTTCAGCTTCCAGCCCCTGCGCCGCCTCTCCGAGTCGCCCGTCTTCGACGCGCCGCCCAGCCCGCCGGACTCGCTGTCGGACCGCGAGAGCTACCTGAGCGGCTCCCTCAGCTCCGGCTCGCTCAGCGGCTCCGAGTCGCCCAGCCTGGACTCGGGCCGCCGCCTGCCCATCTTCAGCCGCCTCTCCATCTCCGACGATTAGGCCGGCGGCTGCCCCTGCTGCTGCTGCTGCTGCTGCTGCTGCTCCCGCTGCGCCCCCCGCCGCCGCCCCCGGGCCGGCCCCGCGCCCCCCCCGCAGCCGCGAGCGCAAGTAAGTCACAGGGCGAAGAGAGAGAACCCTGCTCTTGTTCTTGTTTTTGTTTTTTTATACGTATATCTATCTATATATCCACCGAGAGCTGAACAAAAAAAAAAAAAAGCGTTTTGCGAAAGGGCGAGTGACGTGAACTGAACAAACCTATTTTTATAGAGAGACCTTGGAAGAAGGGGATTTTTGTTTTGGGGTTGTTTTTTTTTTTTTTTTCTTGTTGTTGTTCTTTGGAGACAAGTTATGATACGCACCAGCAGCAGCCATTCCATCTGTGTTCAGAGAAAAAAAAAAAGAAAGAAAGAAAACAAAAAAGCGTTAGCAAAGACACCACCAGAAAGCAACAAACAATCCGGGGAGCGTGGGTTCTGCCTTTCCAGCTCCTCCACATCTGCAGGCACACGCAGAAAAGCCACCGAGCAGTTCTTGTCTTTCAATCCAGTTCAAATAAAAACACAGAACATAACTAAAACCTATAAGCTTTTTTTTAAGAAAAGAGAAATCCAACATCCTGCCAAGAATATGCCTTGATAACAACCTTCTTTTTTTATATATCTATATATTATTATTATAACAAATGCTAAAACCTTCATTCCAAAGTTTAATATTGGTTCCATTGCCACCACTTAGTGGATGTTTGGCTTAGAACAATTTTTTTTGTTGTTGCTTTATTTGGAAGCACTCAACTGAGTTTAGTTTGTAATTGTTGGAGAATAACTGCTGATTTTTTTAATTTTTTTTTAGCTGTTTGAGTTGATTGCATGAATGAGTCACTGCACACAACTCAATATGAAACTATTTAACTTATTTATTATCTTGTGAAAAGTATACATTGGTAATTTGTTCATACTGTATTTATCGGGTATGATGAAAAGCAATAGATATATATTCTTTTATTATGTTTAAATTATGATTGCCATTATTAATCGGCGAAATGTGGAGTGTGTTCTTTTCACAGTAATATATGCCTTTTTGTAACTTCACTTGGTTATTTTATTGTAAATGAGTAAAATTCTTAATTTAAGAGATTGTATGTAATATTTATTTCATTAATTTCTTTCCTTGTTTACGTAAATCTGAAAGATTGCATGGTTTCTTTATAGAAATCGGTCTCGATGCTGTGGAAGTAGTTTGAGCAATTTCTATGGGTTTTTTAGAATGTAAATGGTTGTAGCCCGTCCGAGTTGAAAAACAAACAAGTAGAAGAAGGGGGGGGGGAACAAACCAACAAAACAAAAAAAAAAAGACTTACTTTGCAATCAGACTTCAAAGTGGCAAATCTAATTTCAGAGTTGTTGAAAGTAACCAAAAAGTATTTCTTGTTGCCTAACTCCACCAATCACACTGTGATGTAGTCTCAAAGTATGTAGCAATAATTGGGGGTCCCAGT